AGGAGAGAGAGAGAGAGAGAGAGAGAGAGAGAGAGAGAGAGAGAGAAAGGCAAGCATAAACATGCTCTACTCTCCACGCTTATTGACAATTTCTGTTTCTCTTTGGGACAACCTTCAGAGCCACTCAGTGTGTGACACAGGTGGTGTTAGACCAAAGTACTCGTCCTTCTTCTGGGCCCCTCTAATATTTGTGTTCTCCTTCCATTACTGTTTCGGTTCTTACTCCATCTACCTTACTATAGTTATTTGAGTACATGATTGTCTCCTCCAGGAGATGGTAAGTTGCCCCAAGGCACAAACTGTGCCTTACCAGTCTCTGTATATCTAGCAGCAAGCACGTTATAAAGGCCCCCACTGCACATTTTCACCCAGAACTGAATTTCTTCCTGTTGTCAGTAATCAAGACAAACCTGAATTTCATGTAGACTTCCTTCTGCTTGTCCTCTCTCGAATGATATTAGAATAGGCAAACCACCAATGCAAACACGTTCAAACCAGAGAGAGGTCAATAAAGGAGAGCTTGGCATCCTTCCAACCATAACCCAGTACTAATTGATCACTGTCCCTAGACATCAACAGGTGAATGAACAGAGTGGGCACTGGAGGACAGAGGCCTCCTCTGCCAGGCCCAGGGCTCCACCCACACAAGCTGTGCAGCTGTGTGAGCAGTAGGAAAACCAATGGAGAAGTAACCGGGAAGGGCTTGTGCTATGGCCCAGTCAGCTTCTGCCCCGGCGGCTGTGTGACAGGGCAGTGCCTTTGTGGGCCCTTTTCTCTCTGCCCAGGTCTTTGCCAGTTGTTTTAGGTGTCATCCTTTCTTGTTGGAGTTCAGATACAAATCTATCTGTCCATATTTGGCACCACTGTTTTTGCTTTCTTATTTGGGAAAAACATTTTTTTTTCCTGATTACAAAAGCAATATGTTTTACTATGGAAAAAGTGCTAAGTAAACTTTAGTCTCCTTCCAATCACCCAGAGGAAACCAGTTGCTAATGCTTTGTTGTAAATTCTTCAAGAGCATTTTCTATGTACAGTTAAACATTGGGGGTCACATGATCTATATAGTTTTGTTACCTCACATTTTTCACTCATCAGGGTATCATAGACACATTTTAAACCAATACATAAACATCTGTAACATCATTGTTACTAGAAGCACCATAATTGATTTAATAAGTCCCCTCTTATTGGACACTTAGGTTGTTTCTAATTTTTCCCTATTACAAACGATACTGCAAGGGCCATTGTTTTAACTAAGCCTTCGATCGTGTATTTTCAAGACATGTAATTATTGTTTTTCTCATTCTTAGGAATTTTTTGACGTGTGGCCAGTCCTGATGGGTGAAGCTCCACCCTACACTGGTCCCAGGACTCCAGATGGAAGGGTAGGTCTCTCTCTGGCCTGTTCACTATGATCAAATGTTTCATGAAATTCAATTGTAAGGCACTGTAGACCCTGCTGATGTTTCTTTATCACTTGGGTATTGATCTTCTCTGGGTTGGGTTGTCTCCCTTGAAGTTATAATTCGGCTTAACAGCCATACCCTGTAATTTACAAGTTGTTTTTTAATATCTGGCTGGACTTTTATAGTAACTTTTACAGAAATCAATCTTTTCATTCCACAGAAGAGGAAGTAGCCCCAGAAAGGTCAAGTGACTTGCTCAAGAATTCATCCAGCAGGTGCTCAGAATTATACACAATAGAGCAGGAAATACCCTTAACATTTAAGTGAAGTGTATAAATTGATAGCCAGAAGGTCAATTCCAGCCAGTAGATAAGCTTGTTTGGCTGCATATATTTAAAAATCTTTTTACTTGAAAAAAAAAATTGAATTGGTAGCCTGGCACTTAAAAATCAAGATGTTTCTCATAAACATCTATATTCTCAGTGTCTTTTGAAAAGATGGAAGATCAGTCAAAACTTGACCCACAATCCCGCAGGGTAAATTTGACTGGAGCTGAGTATCAGCTGCCTCTTTTGAATGTGGCCTGAGCTCTCTAGTTTGCCACAGCCCCCACCACTTCCTCTTGTGTTCACCTGGGCCCTGCTCTCATTTATGTTTCTATCGGGCCTCTAGGCACTTAAGCTCGTGACCTCTGGTCTTATACCATTGCTTCATTTTAAACATGAGGCACAAACACTGTAGAGAAGCTGAAATGGTATATGTGGGGATGTGGAGCTGATGCAGAATAAATAGATCTGGTACTCAAATGGCCTATAGGACTTATACCTGTAGAATGACTGAATGACCTTAGCTGAGGCCACACAGAGTCATGCCCTGAACTGTGTTTTAGTCCAGTGCTCTTCCCACAAGGCTTTTTACTTTATTTATTTTTTTTTTAGCTGAGTCATCCTGCCATCTGTTGGTAGCTCAGCAGCAGCTCAGCTCGGGCCGGGACTTGAACCGCTGTTGCTCAGAGCTCGCACTCTTGAGCGAGCTCTTAACCAACTAAGCCACTTGGCCAGCCTCCCACAAGCCTTTCTAAACTGTCTAAAATAGCATATCAGTTTCTACTAGGAGGCTTGATTTCACCCAGCCAACCCTAACCCTAACCCAAATAAAGGGCCGTGTGTGTGTGTGTGTGTGTGTGTGTGTGTGTGATAGACTTTATTTAGTCTCAAATCCAACTCTTGCCTATGAGCTTTGTATAAGCACCAGAAAAGATTTCAACCATGGACTCTATATGGTCTGCTGTGCTTTATCCAAAATGAACTTTATAACCTGCTGTTGTCCTGTTTCAAACTGCTTTTTGACCAACCCCAATTTCATGATTTCCTTTGGGAAGACTGAGTCTTCAAGGATTACATCATGTGCCACTGTCAAAAATGATTTGGGGACACTTTTCCTTTTCAAATACAGCTTTTCATGTTGGCGTAGCTGACATGTTACCACTGAGATTTTTCTCCAATTTACATATGAGCTCGACTTGTATTTCCTGGAAATTTAGAAGGAGAAAAACTGGACTAGAGATCACCATAGCCTTCAGGCACCACCAACTTCAATTAACTTCAATTTTCTTGGCTACTTTGATATTCAGCTCTCTGAGCTGAGCCCTGAGGTCAGAGGTCATCTCCAGCTCCAAGATGGCCAGAGAAATGTCAGGTTCTAACTTCAAGCTCTTCACCCTCAAGCACCCCAATCTTTAAGATTGAACTGAATAGGGCATTTTTCTCACTGAGTGTCAATCCAGAAAGAGCTGCCCATCGTTTGATCAATTCAAGAAGTTTTGATTTCACTGAGGTGATTAGCATATTCATGGTTAAGACTTTTCTTTTCCCAAACCCTTCTCCATCTCAGGTAGCAAGGGCTCAGTCAGTCCTTGCAAGAGTTTGAGGCATTACATTGTGATGGAAAAAACCAGAAGGCAAAGGACTTTGGTTTGGGTTGGTTGCTAACTTGTAGGGTGAACTTGTCAAATACTAACTGATGGTCTTCTATTTTCTCATCTGTGGGGTGCTGCTCCTGAATTCATCTCCAAAGTCAGTTCCAGGTTTAGGACCCAGCTGGTGAGGAAAACACACATAGGCCTGAGCTGGGACCCAGATACAGCATGACAGGATTGGCCAAAAGTGGATCTTCTGGGAAGAGCGTGGGCTTGGGGGAAGAAAGCCTGAGTTCGGATCCCTGCTCCACCAGCTAGTTACGTGGCCTTGGGGAACCTCTCTAAGCCTCACCTTTCTCATCTGATTATGCCATTTACTCTTCTCAGCTAGTTTATGAAGGAGGGGTCCTTGGATTTTCCTCATTGGACAGTTGAGGAGGTTGAGGTCTGGAGGGGTCAAATCGTTTGCACAAATTCAAACCCCAGGACGCTTTTCTTTCTGGTAACCGATGTGACAATCATGCTTTTGGACATTCCCTTTGCCTTCTATCACTGCTCTCACGCTTTATCTGCCACATTCACATTAGAAATACAGCTTTTGCCTGGATGTTGACCCATTAACCTCCCCCAAATCTTGGATCTGAAGCTCCCCAAGTGCAACTACAGCTCACTTCATCTCCTTTTAAAAACAGAATGTTGTACATGGGTATTTTAATGATTAGATAGTTATACAGGCTAGTTAGGCTTTATGGGGGAGGGGGGATACCCCCCCAAAAAGCACTTATTTTAAAACTGGTATATTTCCATGCATGATGACTTGGCTATAGCTGCATTTGTAGCTCTTTCAAAGACCCTTGTGTTACAGCCTTAGCTGCTCAGGTGGAATGTAACAAAGGTGATCATTGATGGCTTAGTTTTGACTTTCCAAAGGCTAGCAAACACTTACATGAATATGGCCTTGAAGGCAGCTTGGCTGAACTACAGTGTATGAAAAAAGCCCTGTTCACTTAACGCACAGTGATCTTTTTGTTGCTTTCTGTGAAAACAAATTGATTCTCCTGTGGGTTTCAAAAACAACACTTCCATTTCTAACCTTTCTAAAGGAGTCTCGTGATCATTCCTTGGATTGGGCAGCCTGTGGGGCCCAGGGAGCTGGCAGCTTGCCTGGGAGTGCAGTGTGCAACCCAGGCCCAAGGACAGATGTCCCCAAAGCAAAGACCTGAAGGAGGTCGAGAAGGTTGTAAAAGTCAGCCCACTCCTCCTCCCAAGTGGAAACTTAGCTCTACCAAAGTCACAGCAGATAATTCGGCCACCTTTGCTTTCTATAACTACCTACAGAGTACAACTTCACTTTTCACAAATGTTCTTAGCAAAGTTTGTTTATATTTATTGAAAAACTAATGCATGAGCCACAGCGAAAACTCACACCATACAAAAGGGAACACCACAGAAATCCAGCCTCCTGAGGCAGACACTGTTATTTGTCTGTCTTTTCAGGAATGTCTATTAATAGCCAGATATTCCTGGATATAATACGTATTCCACTACCACCGTCCTCGACGAATGTGATGATTCTGTTTTGTGCCTTACTTTGCCCACTTGACTATATTTTAACATCTTTCTCTATCAGCACAGATATAGCTCTGTTACCCCAGAGACATGTTGAGTGGCCACTGTATGCAGGCACTCAATTTGTTTCACCAGTCTCCTAAAGATGGCCATTACATTGTCTCCAGGCTTTGTAAAGCAGCCTGGCTGAGACCCCTGGATGGGGCAAATGACACTTACCCACATTTGGGAGTATACTTATGGGATTCATTACTGCATGTGGAAATTACTGGGTCAAAGAACATATGCATTTTAATCTGTGAGGGATATTGCTAACTATCCAACCACAATCTCAGATTTGTAGCTGGGAGCGGCTTTAGAAATTTTCTAGTCCAGTTTGTAAATTTCTCTGATTGTCTTAGAACCCCAGACTTGCACAATGGCTGCCTTGCCTGGGGTTAATGGGGAGCAGGAAGGTAGGAAAGAGAACGAGAGACCAGAGATGAGGATCTCCCTGTACCCAACGCTGCTGCCCTGAGGGCAGCTCTACTTTTCATCTGCTTTATATGATTGAATCTCATGCTTGTTTGGAGACAGAGTTCTGCTTTTCAACAGCAACAATAAACAAACACCGCTGATTTTGCAGCTGGAGAAACTGAGACCCAGAGAGTACATACAGTAAAACCAAGGGCACAGCACGAATCTTCACTCTAGGTCTATTCTGAGCTCCAATTCATCATGCTGTGGGGTTCATCCAGTCTCCCCTTGGATGCTTCCTACTTGAGAGAGCTCATGTGTACCCTCGGGCAGCTGATGGCTTTGGAACGGTTCTAGCTTCTGCCTCCTGTTAAGCCAGGGTGTGTCTTCTAGAAGGGCTCAGCCACTGTAGCTGCTGCCAATGCTGGTTGTTGAGGAACACAGCCTCTCCCTCATGGGCCTAAAGAAGGTCATGGTTGCCCGTCAACCAAGCGGACCTTCAGGCTCCCTTGACTGGATCAGGAATTTTTCACTGGGGAACTTCTGAGTCAGGAGGCCTGAGGGGGACCAAGGTATCTACATTTAAATCTTTAAAGCAGTACTTCTCAAAATACCTGTAGTAAAGGAACAGGTTTTTTTTGGTTGTTGTTTCTGTTTTTTATTT